CTACAGAAATGCTTCTGCTTCGCATCGCATTAAAAACTCGCGACGGACTACATAAATGCTGTGCTTCGCACCGCATTAATAATAGGATTGATATCTAACAAGGGCAGTCTATCTTAAAGTTAATGAGAAGCGTAAGATTCCAAGCTTAGAGAACAGCAAAAATATGATAGACAAGGAAAATCCAGAGAGAGATAAAATGTTGTTTTATAGCAATGGTTTTAGGAAAAGCTTCTTTCAGTTTATTTCTACATAAAAATGAGAATTACTCTGTCGGTTGATTTTCTTTTCAAGAAAATTTGCATGTTTCTCCAAAAAATCTTTTACTACCACATAATACGCCTATCCTTGAATTTTCTCGGCGAGTTCAAACAGTGTTTTTTCTCTGCATTTTTCTAAAGTTTCCTTTTAGATCTATATTTTTTGTGATCGACGGTTGCTTATGAGAGCAGTTTCAATGTATTGCAGCCTGAGTTCCATTTGCTTCAGATCAGTTTCATGATCTATACTACCAATAAATCGAACATAATTCGAGTGTTTTAGAAAATATTCATTAAGAAATATGAATCGGAGCTGTAGCAGTGTGTAATGGTGGCATAGATTAAAACTATTCAAAATGAATTATTACATAGGCTGTGAGAGGTAAACATTTTAGAAAGAAAACTTCGTATGAAATTCATAGAAAATTTATTCGAATTGAAGTTGATGTAAATAATACAGTTTTTTTTCTTTTATTGATTTGTACAAATTATTCTACTAATCAGAAGAAAGACAATCGAGGAAACCGAAAGAAATAATTTGCTTCACGTGATCACAAAGAAAGAGTGAATGTTTGGGAAATTTAAACACATCTCTTCATTTAGTAATAAGGTCTACCCGTAGCTGGATATTTTTAACATAGTAAACAAGCAGAGATTTTCTATTGCAAGAAACTAAATTAGTAATAATCATGTTAGATCGTGGAGTATATCTGCGTTTATATATAACTATATATATATATATATATACATAGATCTTGTTTTGTATTCATGCAAGATAACATGATAATGCTTTTAGTTTACGTGTCATTTATTAATTAGCACGAAAATAATTGGTGCTCATCTAGAGGTACAAGTCATTTTAACTAAACATTTACTATAATTCTCATTTCTCTCTCTCATGAATTACTTAGATTTATGGTGACGACTTATTAAAATGAGTGATGCGTATTAATATATTCATGGATGTAAAATATTATGTTGATGTCATGTTATAAAACTGGTAAAATTAATTTTGTTTTACACTGTTTTTTATGAGAAAAAGATTGATGATTGCATGTGTTCTTGTAATGACTTAAAATTATGTGTGAAGCAGGGCTCCTAGTGGGATGGGATGGGACGAAATTTTCGTCCCGTGGGATAATGCAAGTCGTTCCATCCCATCCCATGGGATTCGCTATATTTACGAGAAATCTTACTGAAAATCAAGGTTTATTTTTTTTGTAACTGAAAATTCGAAGTTTTCCAGCATTCTGATTTGAATATTGGAATTAGGGATGCACCAATTCCTAGTAGATTGCAAGAAAGAAGATATTTCCCCCTGATTTAGAATGGAGTTGTCATCTGATTCCATATATCAGCCAAGACCATTTTTTTGCTCTATGTAAAACGATAGTCGAGATTTATGAAAGACTAAAAAACGTTTTCGGATTTGACTCAGAATTTGAATTTTCAAGCCGTTTTCGGTCAAATCCTATTCAATTTCAGACTTGCAGTTTGCATTACACAAATTCTAAGAATAGATTTGAAAAAAACGTTCAAAACTGAACAGAAAAAATAAGTGAGTCGAGGCTTAGTCCATAACTCTTAATGCTGAAAACATGTAAACATTGGAAAAAAATTCAAGAAATTGACGGGATTTGATCTTTCCCCACTTAAAAATGACGTGTCCGGTAGTGAGAATTACCGATCGAACATCTCTTTCTTCATATTTTTCTGTTCAGTTTTAAACGCTTTTTTCAAATCTATTCTTAGAATTTGTGTAATGCAAATTGTAAGTCTGAAACTAAGGATGATAATGAGGAAGAAATAATTATAGAAGGTGACATTGAACAATTTATAAAACAAAAGATGATGCTATTTTATTAAAACATTGAAACAAAAAGAACATTCATGTTTATTTCCCCATGTTGGAAAAAACGGAGTAAAATTGACGGTTTACTGGTTTTACCGCTCCGGTTACCGGCTCCCATCAACACAAATTTACCGCGGTAAACCGGGGGTTTCGGGAAACACCGCGGTTTACCGCCGGTATTTTTTGATTAACCGGTTCGCTGAGCGTTTATAAAAAATTGTTGCTAAAAGTCATTGATCGGGCTATCTTAGGCATCTTTTTTTCCTATATGATAACGGTAAAAAAAGGGTACCGGAAAAACTAGCGGTTAGCCGCGGTATTACCGCTCAGGTTACCGGCTCCCATTTCATACAAATTTACCGCTTTTCTAAAATTACCGCGGTTTACCGCAAAAATTGAAGCGGTATTCGCGACATGGGTCTGTTTTCTATGTTTTATCGTATTCTTTAGTCAATTGTTCGAATAGAGTTCGGAGTTGGGTTAATGACCAGTACGGAAAAAGAATGATAATATTCACACTTTTCACCTATTGTCAAGTGTGACATAAATGAATAATCATTTTTTCTTTAAAAAGATAATCGCATTTATCATGGGATTAGGAACTCATCCCATCCCATGAGGAGGCCTGGTGTGAAATGTGTTTTTTTGTGTACTCACAAAGTGAGTACACCCTAGATTCGGTCAGTGTGTCCGTCCGTCCGTCTGTTAACACGATAACTCTTGACAGGCTCATCCAATTGTCATGAAATTTTGCACACATAATGATCTCATCAATATCTCAGTCGAGTTCGAAGATGAAAAGGATCCGTCAAGAAATGACTGAGTTATCGAAAAATTTGTCATTTTTGACCCGACCATCACTGAGGTGGTACAGAGATTTTTTTCTCAGAATTATTCACAACATATATAAATCGACTCAGTTTTTTGCAGTACACATAACAATCGGATGCGAATCCGATGTTTCCGCATTTTTTTTCGATTAGATTCACTGATTGATCTATTTTATGCGCTGATTTTCTATATTATGATGATAATTGATTGAAGACAGAAACTTGCCTTTATAAAAATCCAAGGTAGCGATGCATGCACCATATTAGACATGAGTATAGGAAACAATTATTGATTTTATACATTTTATATCGGTTCAGAGTAGTAGATGAAAGAAGTAGTTATCAAATTTTTGTAATAAAACCTTTCTTTATTCGTTAATCGTGGTATGAATAAACTAATTAATGGGGGTTTATCAAGTTCTATCAAATTGCGAAAAAATAAGTATGTAATAGAGAAGAAAAGCAAAACCAAATTGGCAGTTCACAGGGTATTCTCCGTTTATACTAGTCCTTGATTTATATGTAAGGAAGGAAAAACACAAAATTCTTCATGTAGCTCATTATTTCTTTAATAAATGCTTTATTATTCTATTTAACCAAACAAATTATACAACATATGCCATTCTTTCTTCATCACAACTTAACCCACCTGAAGCGATAGAATAATGTGTTCTTTTTGTCATAAAGAACATTATAAACCAAGTTGTTGAACACTTCATAGCATTTTTTGGTAAAATTTCTATCTTTCATTAAGCAAATAGCAGCATTCTGGAAAAAAATGAAACTATGTCCTCAAGTTATTGTTTCCTATTTCCATGAAAAGCAAAACTTCATTTTCATTGCCTGATGGCTTTAGTTATTATTGTTGTTATTTGAGGAAATCATCATGGATAGACACTAGATTTTTCCACGGTGGAATTTTTCAGAACATGAAATGACCTTGACTGATAATTAAAATTATCATCGAAGAAATACTTCAGTAGATTAATCAATCTTGACTGAAGTAATTAAATCTATCAACATTCCATAAAAAAAACAATTGTGTCCTTCATTGATTGAATACAGAAGCAGCATAGTAACTCTTACATTGATAGACACGTTGTCAAAAGCTTGAAGAAATAAAATAAACTGAATACTGCTCCTTTCGAACACGATATTGACAAAGAAACGAATAGTTACTTTTAAGAATTGAATAACAATTTAATAAATAATAAATGAGTGTACCGAATTATTTTTATTAATAAACGATGAAAAACTTCATGTCAAAACTCATTTCTCAGCAATGTAACATAGAATAGACTTGGCAATTGTTTGATGAAAAAAGCAATGTGATTTTTTCCAGCGTTCAAAATATTATTCCGAAGTCTTCACAAAAATTCTCGTTCTCATCGTAGTCACTTAGTAGGATAATGATATGAGATAGTGCAGACTTGTACGATGACATATTGAAAATAACAGTAATCATCTATAGATTCTTGTCAAACATTTTCTGTTGAACTAATCGCAATCAAACCATTTTTACTGGCGGATATGAATAATGATTCGATTAGTTCAAAAACAAAATTCACTTCTAGATTATGGGAGTCGTTTTAACAGACGGAAAACTAAAAACGCAGAGTGTCTTATGTTTTTCTTTCTCAACGTCAATCTTATCGTTTCAGTCAAATAAAGGTTTTATGAAATGAAGTTTTCTCTTTTCAATAATCGCTTTAATCAGCGACGTCATCGAGATTTAACAGAGACAATTTTACATCATTCTATAATTACCACAGCATGGTTTACTGTTCTGAATAGTTTGATTACTTTTGAATATGACCGTTCCACTTCGCTTCTTTTCTCTCCATGACGTCTTCATTAATGTTGAATTGAACGATATGCGTTTCACTTTCACTTATATTGTATATGACACTTATATATCAGTGTGTTCGCGCTGATAGAGGTGCGATTCATGTGATCAACTAGTACAATAAACGCTATTAGCAATGCAGATAGCACATCTATTCATTCAGCTCGTTCAGTTGATTCCTTTTGCGTAACCACTCAAGATTATCAGTCTCAAAGCAAACTAAACTAATTAAAAAAATTAATTTCTATTATTCCATAGTTATAAAATATACAAGAATTTTTAAACATTAAATTAAAAACATGTAGAATATATGATAATATCTTAATTTAGTTATTTACGTTTCCGTCTTATTTTTTAAAATAACTAAAACTTGTGCGTAGTTTTATTGAATAACAGATTATAAATTTAAGACATTGTCGTTTACATGGTGAAAAGCACCTTGATGTAACACTCGCACACATGATACATCAATATATAGATGCTTATCGATTGTTTGCGAACAAGACTATTTTCGTATGTGCTCTAATGCTATTTTATTTTAACCAAAAATAGCAGCAAAAACAACAACCATAGATGGTTGAAGTAATATAACATGTGTGATCACACAATATATTACAAAAAGATTATAGAAAAAAAAAGAGGCAGAAGTAGTTGGCACCACTACACAATGAGTCTTTTTCATGGGAGGCAACAAAAGAAAACACGCTTACATTAATTAAGAGAAATATAGCTAATAAACAAATATTTTGATATAATTAAATAAAAAAATGATTTATCTTCTTATTTTTCTTTTAGAATGCTTTCTACTTGAATCATTATCTTGAAATCTTTAAAAGAAAAGAAAAATTTTAGAAGAAAAAATTTAAATAATTTAGTCTACCTTTTAGATTTTGATTGTTTATTTTCTGAAGTTTCATCTTCAGAAGATGAATCAGAAGCTGATTTTTGTTCAGATGTTGAAACATTTTCATCCGAACCAGAGCGAGATCTAAAACAAAAGGATATTATGGTTATACGACAAATATTCAACAAAAACAAATCGAACCGTTTTTTAGCTCTATGTGATGGTGGTGGTGTTTGTGGACCACGTTCACGTGGTTCTTTCGAAGAAGATGACGACGATGATGATGGTGTAGATTGTCGTTTACGTTTTCGTTCCCGTTCACGACTCGATGGATTTTTTCGTGATTTTGAGCTTCTATAAATAAAACATTATGGTATATTTTCTATATTCTGATATAGTTTCATTATTCGAAAGGAAAAAAATATATCAATATATACAGTAGATCGGTCAAAACCAACCTGTAGCTATGTAGTATTATCCATTATATTTATTGTGGAGCTGACTGTTTCGAAAGAGAAAGAAATTTAGTCGATCGTCAAAATGACACTTCTCTTCAACCATAGATGAATCGATGATGGTCATGAGAAAATAAGTGACATAGTGAGACGTGTAGTCCGATGTATAAAGCGATCGTGATTATTATTGATGGCAAAAAAGGGAGAGACAACAATAGCCGAAGTTCGTACCTGCGTCCACCACGACTACAACTTTGTCGTGTTCGTCTATGCGACGTCTCTGGTGGATTACGATGATGACCAGATGATGAATACATATTTCGGTAGGATGACAATGACGATGGTGGCGGTGATGATACTGGAGGAAGATAACTTGGCGGTGGTGGTGGTAATCTTTGCATTAAATATGGATCACCGTATGTTCGATAATAAGATGAATCGGGATAAACAACTGAATGAGGCGAATATACCGGTGGATAAAAATCTTGTGTTCGTAAATGATTCATCGATGATAGACGAGCATTCTGTTTAAATGATGGTGGTGTTAAAGATCGACCACGAGGCATGACTGAACTTGCCATCATTGTAGCTGGATGATATTGATAATAACTTTGACGAATAGCTTGCATTGAGGGTAAACGATTCGCCGTTACCTTTTATTTTCCAAGAAAACAAAAAAAACGTAATCTATTCTGCTGTTTTAATTTTTTTTTGTAATTATCAAACCTGTAAATGATTAAATAAAGTTGATGCTGGTGAACGTTCACGTACCGCGGGTGGTCGATTATCTCGGGATGCTTTATCTGATTTAGCATATTCAACACGAAGTCTTGAACCGTTCACTGTTTTATTATTTGTATGTCTTAATGCACGTTGTGCATCGCTTGGTGATATAAATTCAACAAATCCAAAGTGTTTATTATCATCAATATAAATTGTTGAGATTTCGCCATATTTACTGAATAGACGATTTAAATCAGATTTACGATTATTACCAATATCTCCGACGAATAATTTCGATGGTCCATTTGACGAACGCATCTAGAATTTTATTTCAAAAATAATATTACCATCAAGTGATGCACACATAGACACAAGCAAGCCAACGACTATTATTGATTAATGGGATAGAAAGCTCAACAGCGACAGTAGCGCCCATCAAACAATATTGAAATTGGAGGGTAGTAGTCAGCATAGAACTCAATTCCATTGAAGATTGTAATGAATCATGATTCACACGTAGTGACAACTATCCATACATTTCTAATGATAATATACACACATTGGTATAACATGGACCATGATGGATTACATTTACAATTTTGGTTATTACTTCTCACAACCAAATTGGAGGTCGAAAACCTATTCGAGATATTCATCGAATCATAATGGCGACATGATAATACCATTTCACATGGATCTTTGTTTATGATACACTTCGTTTTATTTTCGCTAACTGTGTAACACATTGAATTCATTTTTTTTTTATCTTTTAGCTATTTTAAAAAATGGCACCACCAAAAAAAGTTGCAGGAGTAAGTTAAAAACTAAACTAACATTTAATTTACCCATTAATTTGATTCGTTTTATTTCTGTATAGAAAAAACAAGCTGAGACAATTAACCAACGTCTCCAACTTGTTATGAAATCTGGTAAATATGTACTTGGTTATCGTCAAACATTAAAAGCACTACGAAATGGCCAAGCTAAATTGATTCTTGTTTCAGCTAATACACCGCAAATCAGGTTAGACTTATTTGCCTATTGAAATTATTTTCTATCGATAGTTTTTTTTATAGAAAAAGTGAAATCGAATATTATGCTATGTTAGCCAAAACTGGTGTACATCATTATGGTGGTAATAATATTGAATTAGGTACAGCTTGTGGCAAATACTTTCGTGTTGGTATTCTTGCTATAACTGATCCAGGCGATTCCGATATTATTAGAACCGTACCGGGCGAGCAATCAACTGCTATTGCAACATCATAGGCATAAATAAATCTTCGAACTTTAGTTTCGCTTGTTTTTGTTAACAAGAAAAAAGATAATAACAAGAAAATCATTAATAAACAAAAAAACAAAAAAAACTATTCATGTTTTTTATATTCAATCAGTCGGTCTTATTTCGTTCAATTTGTTCTAGGATAGTGTAAGAGAAAGAAATTAATCAGATGAAGAAAACATTGACAAACCTTTTTCTAACTCGAATATACATATTTCCACTAGAAAGAGTGCGAAAAGACTTTTAGACAAATTAGAACTTAGTTTTACTCACATTCTGCTTTTCGTAAGAGTTCATCTGTGTTTGGTTGGCTGATTTTTTTACCTTGTTCCAGTGCTTAAACAAAGTATGCTTATTGTTGCGAATTTAATCGTGTTAATTAGTACAATAGCAAAAAAAGAACCTTCTGTCGTAACTGAAATCTCCGATATAAATATTCGAAAAGCTTCGATGAATTTATTGTATTGAAATCTTTTTGAAGAAGATCATAGTATTTATTCAACAAGAACAGTGCACACTATCTAGCACTATGAAAGTCTAAACTGTTTGCAAGGTTGTTCGCGACTCGTTCGGTAGTACTCAAAGGCTTCAATCTTGATTTTTTTATATTCATACTAGGAAATCTTAATGTTTTCTGGTACTTTAAGCGTTATTCTTTGCTGATATGATACACTTCTCCGTGATCTAACAGCAGACTCGAATTCTTTTTTAAGAACAATTTAACAGTAAATGTAAAATTTAAAAAGCGCTAAATGAGTAAAGGACGTACCTTTAGATTTTGAATCTATCTCTATAAATACATCAAACAGTACATTTATATTGACGAGATTATTCGTTAATCTTACGTGCTTGCAATTGTATTCTATCAAGTTCTTTTGCTTTTTTACAAATATGTTCATGTCGTCGAGACACTATTCAAAATAGAGATTAGGTACTTTTGTGTTCCGTATACTTACATTGTTTTTGAATCTGTGCTTTCGATAATGGTGCCATTGGTTCAAAGGCTAGATACAAGAAACATTAAATTATGAGAGAGAAATGGAACTAACAGACTATTCATTAGATTTGTTAACAGTGGATGATTCCATAAAACAAATTTATCTACTCAAGAATAAAACTGTATTAAAAAGAAACGAAAATTGAAATAAAGGAAAACCTGTATTTTCACTAAATTGAGTTTCTGTTGATAGAAGTGCCGCTGACTGACTGATGGTCGACGGTCGAACTTTAAAATTCGATGTTTCACGATTAAATTATTTTATATTAATCTATCTACCTATAGTAAATGTTGACATCGATGTTTCCGATATAACAGTATTTTTTACTACAGGTAAAATTGTATCACACGATAATAATAAAGGATGAATTGATTGTCTTTTTTCATTTTCGAACTCGTCATTATTATTATTAATACGAAAATATTTTGATGATGGCTCGTCAAGTGCTATGATAATTCATAATGTTATCTAAAAATCAAGAGAAAGAAACATATTTTTCATTACCTTTTGAATATTCGTAAACATTAAGTTCAACTAAAATAATTCCGAAGTCTATTCTGTTTTATCAATAATGTAAAAAATATCCTTACGCTCAGCCATGGCTATGCGTTCATCGTGAGTCAATGATTGATTAGATTTTTGACGTTTTTTAAGCAATGCTATTGTTAGAATGAAATTCAAAAATTGAATAACCTATGATTTCCTACTATTTACCATCGCTTTTATATTTAAGTTTTGTTTCGATATCATTCGATGACATGGATTTCAATGTTTGATGAATATGTGCCAAACGACGATTTAGTTGTTTGAATAATTGAGGTCGAGGAATATCGCCCAGATAATAATCTAAAATAAGAAAAAGAAAGAAAGAAAATATAAATTCAAATAAAGTTTTCTTACTTTCAATTAATTGATGAAATAATGGATGTTCGAATGACACCAATGAATCAATATGAGACGTTTCTTTTGGTATTTTATTAGTCGATGGTTCGATAGACAACTGGGATCGTTCGAATTGAATAGATGAACCTAAGAGACTTTCTTACATTTCAATTGACGACAATGAAAGAGAGGTTTTACTAGCGATCTCTTTGAAATTTGATTGACGATTTAAAAGAATCGACGCTGACGGAGCACTTGGAATAGGTGGCAGTTCTATGCATGAATTTTTTCTCTTTTTAAATACTATCAAAATAATTTTTACGCTCAAGTGCAGCATCCGGTGATGTGCCACGAAGAATTTCTAAATTAGAGAAGAGTAGACAATCATCCATTGTTTACAATAATTGTACTAGGTGGATTGATAAGTTCTGCATGAACAGATTCCGTTGGTGATATTGTTTTGTTATGATTTGTATTCCATAGATTTATTTCTAGTTCAGATTATCAAATAGCAATATAATTAAATTCGTCATTTTTTTTCAGTCCTACGATTTTCTTTCGAGTCAGTTTTCTGATATACAAAATCTTCTAGAATCAGAATAGATTTTGAAAGCAGAAAAAAAAACAAAGCCTACTTACGCGAATCACAATGTTGATCTTCTGTTTTCAATGGTAAAGTTTCAGCGATATATTCCAAATTATCCACTGATCATCAAACAAGATAGTACTCTAGGTTATTATTTATGAAACAAATCTCATACTTGGAAATGGTTTATAAGAAATTGATGGTACTACATAAAAAAAAGAGCTTACTGATCGAACTTCATATTTTCTTACCTTTAATACCGAATGATGAAGTGTCGTCATTGAATTCTATACCTGATTTTTTCAAATGATCATCAAGTGCTAATGAAATTTTTTTTCCTTCAAGCTACAATAAAAGAATCTATTTTACTGTCTAGCTTCATCATATTAGTAGATGCTGATGGTAATGCTGTATTCATTGTTTGTTGGCGAAAGGAATTATTAGTATTGGATAAGTTTCCTTAATTGAAAAGAAAACCAATGTGTTTAAGATCAAACCGAATCAAGAACATGGCTTTGACTTACTATGTAAATTATTATATGATGATTTATCCGTTATAGATTCATCTTAAAATCAAATATATCGTTTGAATTTTGATTCTATATTATGTAAAAAGAATACCTTCTTTATGTTTTCTTTTGGACGATGATGATGGAGAATGTAAAACTACAATTATGGTTTTATAATCTACTAAAGAGATGCTACAATGAAATAAGACCTGATCGATTTTGAACAACATATTCTCCACCGCCTAAACGATTTTTGAAGAATAAAAACAAACCAGAATTACAATTTTTTTCTATAGTTTTTGTACCTATTAGTTGTTGTTCGAGTGCTTGCGAATAAACAATGCGATACCAAAGATCGCGAGGCATAGGCAATTTATTTTCAGGACAATTTATTGGACCACATGATCGAAAACAAGGAAATGCTCTAGAGAATTCTTTTTTTAAAACATCTTTTTTACATTTCAAAACTTACGATGGATAACAAGGATAACCGGTAGTGGATGTGATGTTGCTGTAGTGAAATGACGGATTCGTTTTCTTCGATATTTTGATTTTTTTAGATGTAGAATTTGATTTCAATTGTTTTATTTCTAATTAATAGATCATATCTACTACTTGACTTATAAAAAGTCAATTAATCTCACTGGTTGCTTTTATGTTAGATTTTTTGATTTTTGAAACTAGAATTTGATCAGTACGAATAGATAGATATATTTAAAATATGCTATCACCTTGGGGTTTCAGTAGTTTCGACTCTGATTTTATCATCGTTTTTGGTAATGATTCATCATTGTTAACTGACGAAAGATTTATGAAATTAAAAGAAAGATTATAATAAAAATGTGTTTACTAAATTTTTCAATGAGAATAGAACATTGATCAAGTAGTTCTATGCAAAGACAAGAGCAAAAATCTACGCCTATGAATTGTATCCTTTGATTCTAACTTTTATCTACATTGCTTGGTAGTTTATGGATACCGTCGAACCAGTTCGTATGACGTATTTTCTCTAACGATGTTTTCAGGTCTATGAAATCACTATGTTATCAAATTCTTTATCAATTAATAATAGAAAAATACCGTTTGATTGTTTCTTATTGCCCATAGAATGTCTGATAAACTCGTATTATGAGTAAATAATTACAGTTCGTTTTAGTAGACAATGAAGAAAAAAATTTACCAATAACTGAAAAGTGAAAATAATGCTTGTTGTGATTGGCGCGGTGAAACGCATATTCTATTTTCGATAATACTTATTGCGTAAACTTATTTAGTTTAATTATTCACTAGATACTTTTTCACCGTCGACTGATGCAAAGTTCTAAACATTTACAATAGCGTCAAAACTGTTACAAAGATACAGACGCACACATTCATCTGCATTCTTGATTTTGTAATTGTTATCTATATGTAATGTGATATTTACTTCGATTCTTTATATTATGTCACTTTTTTTAAAAATCTAAGTGCATACTGTGATTGATTTGATAAGCAATATATCTATATCATTGATCATGCAATAATATTCAAGAGAAAAATGAAACAAAAGCTCGTTTGGTTCTGATGCATTGATCCTGTTAGTCCTTAGTCTAAACATTTGATTAGGAATTTAAAAACAAAAGAAAGAACATGTATATTCTTGTGTTCGATAGAAGACGAAGAATATAATCTGTTCATTTCGTACATTCAATAGAAATATTCTACAATCATAAATATTCATAACGTGCATACCGTTGTACATGCAACAAGCCTTTGCATTTCTTCGCCTGTTTGAGTAATACTGAGGTAGTGAGAAGAAGAAAAAAAACATTTCACGGTGTATTGACACTGATGAGTTATTCTACCTTTATCGAATCATCGATCCTATCTATTCCGCGCTGTTCGATGATGTTTTCTTTCATTCACAATCGTCTCTCTGTAATATAAACAAGCCTTTATCGAAACCTCGATATTACTAGAATGGATGTATAAAATATGGCTTTGGCAAAATCTAAAAAGCAGCATCAACACAAATTATTTCATCGTAAATCTCTTCTTGAACATCCAAAACCGTAAGATTCGAATTTTATCCTCTGTTTTTAATCCAGTTTACTATGATTTATCTTTAATTTTTCTGTTAGTAAACGCCGTTTGAGACATCGTTTATATGCATTAGAAGGAAGAATCCATAAACGAATTATCCACATTCGATACTTTATTCATAATCTCAATCAATCATATCGTTCCTTATGTTTATTGATAGCATATGTCTTTCGCATTTTTATTTTAATCGATCAAGTATTAAGAGAATTGTTTGCATTTATCGAAAAAATTGTTCAAATCATCAGAGTCATTTACGGATGGATACAAATGGTAAGAGCAATCTTGTCAGCCGTTCATCTTATTATCAGTCGTATTATGTTGTTATCATCTTGTATTCATCGAATATGTTATTTATTATCTATTTTTCTTCAACCATTCTCAAATGGAAAATTCGAAAAATGTGTACGATCTTTTTCATATTTTATATTTTATTATTATTCATCGAATGGTGCTTGTTATACATTGCAAGCTCGAACTCGGCACATTGTTAGTCGAGTACGAGAACGATGGGGAATAAAACGACATGGCAATATAAATGATGATGGTGACATGTTTTATGATGCGTCCAATGAAGAATGTGCATATTTCTAGACGAGTTGGTTTGCTATTGTTTTTCTATATACAATAATGAAAGGCTAATTTTGATAGGTATTAATGCAGATTTTTGCTCTTTATAATGATGAAAAATAGATGTATATAAGTCATGAATTTTCTTGTTTTCTTTTGAGTACTTTGACAAGAAAAAGATAAACGAATATGATTAATCAAATGGACAGAACGAAAGAAAAAAGTAAATAGAGAATGGTCAGAGTAACTATTATTTTATCGTCTGTTTGAATCTAGATGAATGATTAAACAAAATCGAAGGTGAAAATGACATTGTAGAAACAGGAAATAAATTTTTAATAATACAAAAATATGAATTGAATAAATTGGCTATTCAGTATTTCAATAGGCATTTATTAGCTACGCGATTTCGAGCAGTTTTTGCTCTTTTAGAAATGAATGAATAAAAGGTCTAGTTTGTATATTTCGATTATTGTGACATATTTATTGGAATGGTTCGATACGCCATCAACAAGGACGTCTCTTTTTCTATATTGACAATGAAATGCAATCATGAAGCATGGTAGTATATTGATATTATTCTCAAACGCAAATATTTAATTAATATCTTATCACAATTTTTCCTTGATTGAACCTATGCGTTGTAACTAATATGTCAATAGGACAGTTAGGTTTTTTATGCCTGCTGTTTTCTTTCGAGCGCACGTGTTGTAATATTCGCTATAATAAACATAATATTACCTTGTAAAATATGATATTTTTCATATCATGCTTGAAATATTTGTTTTGACGTTCTAAGACGAAAAATATTGATTTGTATTTCAGATGAATTGTATTATTGATGTTTTTCGTTTGTTGAACCAGGATAAAATTACTGTCAAGGTCTTATTATTATTGTTAGCAAATATCAATGTAAAAAAAGCAGAATGTTACTGTATGAAATGACAAAACAATAGATCGACTTGAATGAATAAATAAAAATTTATAATGCGAATTTAATTTGATTTTCTAATTTTTTTTTGAAACTTGTAAATGTACTTCAGTTAATATTTTCGCAAGTTAACAGATGCGTGTCAATACTTAAAAACAAATACTCTAATGCTTTTATGATTTATCAAATCTAATAATGAATCATACGCATTCGTACAGGAATATGTTTGTTTTTATAATAGTCGCAGATGGTTGCAATAACTGCGCGACGAGATAACAATAAGACGAGTTACTTAAGAATGATACGATTTATTACTTAACGAACCAGTACGAGACTTCATGAGATGATTGCTTTTCATCAAGATTGTCCACAGTCAATATTGACAGAGGTCTCGCTTTCCGATAACGTTACTCATTAAAACATAAATAAAAATTCTGTCATTTACCAGGCAAATATCAAGGTAAGTTTCCATTTGTTCTGCAAAAACACAACTATATTTGACCATTGAGTAATAAAACAAAAAAAATGCACATTTTTTTTCTTTCTCTCCCTCTCTCTCTTTTTTTACTATTTCAGTTAACAACAGACAAATATAAACTTCTATCTTTATCACTCAATGTCTCAGGTATGTGAAATAGAATTTTGTCGACGTACATCTTGTGCTCTATGTCATTGTTGTCAACTAAATGTCTGCATCATCCATTTAAATGAACACAATAATGTACTTAATCGTCAGTTAGATCCTCTTATTGACCAAATCAATTTATTGGATAATCGTCTTCGAACACTAAATATTCAAACAATTGTCAATAGTTATCGTGAAAAACTTGAACGATGGCGGTTAGATTCTCATAAAGAAATTGATCGATATTTTGAAGATAAATGTCAAGAACTCGAACGACTTGTTGTGGATAAATTTGATGAACAACACGAAGAACTTGGCAACTTACAATCAAAACTTAGTGAACTCATTCAAGAACAACAAGTAACTCGTGATGACTTCTATGAATTAACATTGATAAGTGAACAACTCGAACAAGATATAAATAATATTGAAGGAAATTTTATTCAACTTGATGCTCGTCCATTAATATTAGATTTTACTTTAATTAGTATTAAAGGAATCAATGAACAAGACTATGATCTATCAATACTTTCGCCTGTTCATAAAAGTATTAATCGTCCCGCTGGAAGCTATGGAGCATTGGCTTGTAATAATAAATATTTATTAATACATCAAGCACCAAATTTATGTTTAGTTGATCAAGATTTAACAATAATTAAAAATATTCCATGGCGTCACGGGACAATTTATGATATATGTTGGTCGATGGTGCTGAATCTATTTATTGTTCTTGATCAAAAACATCTTTATTTTGTCGATGAAAAAACTATGTCAATTGAAAAAGTATCAACAATCGAAAAACGTAAATGGCTATCATGTACGTGTTTTAAAGAATTTCTTTTTCTATCAACAAATGAATGGGGATCATCAATAACAAAGATTCTTTTGAATTCGTCGAAAAAGCTCGACAAACAATGGCAATCACCTGAGATATGTAAAAAAGATGAATATATTGACGTTATTACTGCTAATAATAAAAAAATTGCTATAATTATTCGAAATAGTTCAAAGCAGACAGTACGTTTTGAATTAAGATCTCCAGAAACATTAGATAGAATTTGGTCACTTATACTCAATGACGTGTGGAGCCCAAATAAACCCTTTCACTGTTGTCCACTTATTAACGACGATTGGCTTGTGGCTGATCACACGACCGGACGTTTATTACATATAAGCAGAACAGGATTAATGAAATCGGTACTACCGTATAATAGCATGCCATACTGTGTTGCTAGATTTGGTATAAATACGCTGGCTGTATCGGCAAATGATGGAATTCATTTTCATAATTTAAATTATAGAAAAACATATACTATTTTTGTTGTTTGATTATTATATGTTGTTCATTTTTGATAATAACCAACGTAGAAGAAAACAACAAAGACAGCGTAAGAAAAATAAACATTTCAGTTAACTACTTCCAAAACAAAAATGAAATCTCTTATAATCTAATAAAATTAACAAAGATCTCAAACGAATTCGTGTTGAAATTATTTTCTTTTTTAAAAATATATGCTTAAATGACAACGATCCATTCTAGCAACGAATCTTCATGAATCGAGTTGTCTAGAGTACGAATCTGAAGAGCATTCAGAAAAATAGGATAGCTGAATCATATTTCAAAATTGATCATTCTTTGCATGACTGCGAACAGTATTCTCAAAATGATTAGTTAGTGAAAGATTTTTAACAGAAATTTTCTCATATGAAAAGATGTTTTAACTAAATAAATAATATTAATTATGCAAAATGACAGGAAGTCATTTTTTTTTATCTAGCCTCTTATTCACACAGAAGTTGGAAGAAAAAAAGGAGCGGCTTCGACTTTTATCATAGCGGAGAGGCGGTAACAACTAGTATTTGTTCTTATGCAGACACGACAAAAAATTTTCTCTTTACTTTTATAATAAACCACAGCTGACAGTTTGACATGAATTCTGGTCAAAATCAAACGCTTTTCCTATGTACGGTCTCTGAATGTAATAGGGAATCGTGTGCGTTGTGTCGTTGTTGTGAAGAAAATTATTGTCTTCAACATTTAATTGCACATACTGGGTCACGAAAACGAGCATTGAATTGTTTGAATGATGAAATTAACAAACTTGATCAACAAATTAAAATATTAAATATTCAACCGGCCATTGAAAACTGTCGTCAAAAATTTGAACAATGGCGTGTGGAATGTCATAATCGGATTGATAAATATTTCGAACGAAAAATTTTTCAATTTCATCGATTTATCGACGAGAAAATTGATGATCAACGAACAGAAATCCATCGTTTACAATCGGAAGTAGATGAGCTTATTAATAGACACGAACTCAATGATCAAGATTTTAACTCATTAAGATCGATTATCAATGATGTTGGAATAGAAATAGACTATGTCAAAAAAATCTATGATCAAGTTAATATTGATCCATTACCAATCGATGATAATCTAATTTCGATTAATAAACCGAACAATTTTAAGTTAAATCCATCCAGTTTATCAATTATTGATGCAGCAATCAATCATCCTCAAGGAAGTTATGGGGCATTAGCCGGCAATGAAAAATGTCTATTGGTACATTTAACACCAAACTTGATTTTAATGGATAAACGAATGAATACAATTCAACAAATTGCATGGCCTTATGGTGTCATTTCGAGTATCTGTTGGTCATCAACAAAAAAGCGATTTGTTGTTATTGGAAAAAGTAGCATCTATCTTGTTGATGGTCGAAATATGTCAATTGAAAGTTTAAAAATGATGGAGAAGCGAAAATGGTTTTCATGTGCATGTTCTGATACATCTCTTTTTCTATCAATAGATGAGATAAATCCGTCGATTGTGGAATTTCATCTTTTACCTTCAATTAGAATGGTTAACCAATGGAAATCTCCGTATCTATGTGCGAAAGATGAATGCATTGATCATATTTCGTACAATAATTCAACACTTGTTTTGATGATTTCGAATAACGTTGACAGATCTGTACGCATGGAACTAAGATTATCGAAGACACTTGAACTTATCTGGTCACTTAAATTTGATATTATACGTCAGCAAAGGAAAGCATTTCGTTGTTGCTCGATCAATTCAAATGAATGGTTAGTAGCTGATTATCAAAATCGTCGTTTATTACACGTCGAAAAAGATGGAAAGGTGAAAACAATTATTCCATACGATTTAATTCCTTGTCATGTTGTTCTATTCGGCTCAAATCTATTAGCTGTATCAAGAAAAAATGGCATCAATTTTCATAGACTATAAATTCTTCTTTAAATTCCTGCTCACCATAGTTTTTGAATGATATATAATTTAATAATATAAATTTATGTCTATTTCTTGGACATAAAAAAATTAGAATCCATAAATAGACTTATAAATTTTTACAACTTCGATTGAGTCCTATGAAATAGTGATTCTATTTTGTTTCGGCCATGACAAATATAAACTAGTTGTCTATGAAATTACTAAAATATTGCAGAAACTCACGTCTTTAACCGATCAATTTTTTAGGTCAGCTGCCTATCAGGGGTCGCAACCGTCCAACTTTTCATGGGCCGACCCGACCCGTTGATTTGTCTGGACCGACCGGGCCGGACCGACATAATCTGATGAACTATCTTTTAATCATATTTGAGATTAATAAGATTGAAATTTAATGCAGTATTTAGAAAAAGTTACCTACACGTACACAGTATGACTTTGATTTCTTAATAAATTTCATAAGATCACATAATTCATATGATAACAAAAAATATCATAAGTAACGGATGCATCGGCAAAAATGACGGTCTCAGTTTTTCTTCAATATTCCTTTCAGCTTTCATAGTTTCGGACTGACTTTTTTACCCAAAGATTCAGCCTTGAATGCTCTACAAAACAAAAAAAAATGAATCGTATGGAGATAGAAACAAAAATATTATGACAGTAATACTCAAAACAAGTAACATCAACAACTTTAGAGCACGAACTACAACTTCTTGTATTTATGTGTTCTCATATCGAGCTATAGAGGCAAATTGAACTGCCGATTGTGTAGAGCTTCAAAAGGTCTATCTTATTAGTATACTGAAATAATTTCATAATCAAAACATGCTGGATAAAATAAGTATTACTTTTTCTTTAAATTTTCTAAAAAACGCGTTTTTACCAATAATTTTCCGTTTTCTTGAAAAATTCATATTAGTCGACCAAGTACTACTTTTTGGTGAAAACTTTCTGCCTTTTTTTAAAGGTACAGACTGGCACTATGGAATATCATGGAGTTATACCTTAATTCTGCAGAAGTATCACTTCCTAGCGACTAGATTCAAATAAAATGCCGAAATATGCCAGAGGGTGACTAAATGACCAAAAACTGAATGCTTTGTCAATATTTTTTCGTTGAAATATTCTTTCGTATGTTTCATTATATAGTGCGCTCATCATCGCATCAGAAATATTACTTTGAAGCTTTCTAAAAGTGTTTCACTAGCAAGAAAAAACGCAAATTAATTTGAATACAAGTTCTTTAAAGTTGATATCGATGTTTGTTAGAAGTATTACTACAATAATTGCTTTGTTTCTATCTCCATGTGATTCATTTTTTTATGGTTTTGTAGAGCATTCAAGGCTGAATCTTTTGGTATAAAAGTCAGTCCGAAACTATGAAAGCTGAAAGGAATATTGAAGAAATATTGAGACCGCCATTTGTGCTGACGCACCAGTTATGTTCGATTCATAAGAAAAAAAAATAAAACAAGCCGGTCCGGGTGGACCGAAGAAATACGTGGCCCGCCCGGACCGGCAGAAAATTTTCACCGGTCCGCCCGGCCCGGTGAAAATTTACCAACGGTCCGGTCCGGGTCGGGCGGCTCGTTGCGACCCCTGCTGCCTATTTATTATATTTTCGTGATGCCCATGAAATGTATCATGCCGTTTGTTAATGAATTTCACACTTACCAGACTCAAAGCATCGTCTTTAAATAAGTACACTTCTAACAATAGAGTCATGGTATACTTACTATTTTATATTTTGAATGTTTTCGAGTCATCTTCTTCTACAATTTATCATACTATTACACACATCTACACCCTCCAATCATATTGGAACCTTTTGAAATAAAAAAAAAATTTTGGTCTATGCGATAATTTTTCTTTCTACAATATTTAAACAGTTTCACAATACAGACAAAAAGAAAAATGAAATGTTCGTCGCTATACAGATCGACAAATGTATAAATATATACTCATTATAGATAAACACGACAAAACACACGCGAACGTTTGATTTGCATAAAGAGAATCGTAATAATAACAAATAAAAAAGAAAATACTGATCTCTATGAATAAAGGTATTTATTTACAAATAAATTCAGATCAGTGTTTATGAAATAACTTCCCATTCGCGTAAATCCGCTAAGATTTGATTAAGTATATTACACCAATCATTGCGATCTTCTTTTGAATCAGCACTTAGCCAAAATCGAAATAGTGTTCGTTTACCGAATGGTTGTGCTATTATAGAATTCGTTGGATATTCATCATTCTCATCATTTTCACTAGCGAACAATCGATGATCAGTGGATTTCTTTGTTGGAACGGCAATACGTAATTCAAATGTATGAGGTCGAGCACATGTTTCACGTTGTAATAGATTAACCGTTTGATCAATACAATAATGTAGATCAATTTCACCTGTAGGTGGCTAAAACGAAACAGAATATAGATTTTATTTTCGAATAAAATCGATTTACCACATTATTTTCTTCGTCGTCTGGTGATGGCCAATATCGAAGATTTTGTTCATTGGTCAATATAAACCATCTTCGAATCCATACACCTGATCCACTAATATCGCAATAGATTGTCTAATAAAAGCAAAAAAGAGAAAACTAAACATATTAAATTCTTTCGAAAATATACCAAGTAGCCAGCTTTACGAATTTTTAATTCTGATAAACGTTGTAATTTAACGTGTAATTTAGCTTTTAATGGAATCGATGCGGATGAGATCTATAAGAGAGAGATGAAAAAATAGATGATTTTATGTATTTTTAATATCGAATTCATTTACTGAAAGCATAAATTCTTGTGTTTTAAGATCTTCTTTACGAATAGTTATTGCATCAACTTGAACAAAATTGCTAACGCGGAGAATTGTATTTGTTTTTGAATGTTGACCAGGTATTGATACTAGAAATAATGGCAAATATTTCTTAAAGAAAAATGTATGAAATTAAAGTACGTACCGGTACTATTTAATCTTTGTTTATCGCATTTCATACATTGAACAGTCTTTGCCAATGATGAAACATGATGATGTGGACAAACCATGGGTGAATGATCGAGGCCAGTTATTGGATGTTTCATCGTGATTTCCTACATAATAAAAATATTGTTTTCTCATATTCAATGTTTCTACAGTAAAAGAATAGATGTAACATTTTATTATTACAAATACTTCTTCTTAAAAGTGTCCAACGGAGCAAAGTAATTAGATCCTCTATTAAACTTCTCGTGAACGTACTTCATTAATCGAAGTGAGACTACTGGGATTTACTACATATGTAGGGTATTCTATTTCAATGAGAGATATTTTCCAGAGGTTCATAGGATGCAAAAACTTGCCATGCAATAAACACCAATAGTTGCAGCAAAACTGCTTTCAACTTCTCTTATAATCATTCGATTGGAAAATATGACTTGTCCATTAGATTGAAGTGTGTCGAATGATGAAACCATATGTGAAAAAAGTGTTTGTGAACGATAGTGAACAGCACACATAAAAAAATAAAATTTTGTTTCTAAACAAAGACGAAAGCAAATAATTTTTCTTAGAAAAAAAGAACAAGTGCAAACCTTTTCCTTTACGTAACGATCTTAAATAATCTTCTTTGATTGATAATCGAATATCTTGTAAAATTAATGTACTATGCGAAATATCTGATGAATAATATTCACTATCAGGGTCGAGATTTTCTAAACGTTTTATTTCACTATTGTATGATGTTAGCTTTTGTTCTGAAATACAGAATATATATATATATATCAATGTAAAATCTATGGAAATAAGTCAAATACATACTAGCCATAAATATGACACGTTCACATTCGATTTTTTTATCTGATAATGCAGCATGTGGATCGTTCGAACAACATTTTAATGCATGTGATGTTTGTGTTAATGTTGATGTTTCTCGTTTTGTTAGTTCAGTTAAACGCTTAAATAAGAAGAAAGATTATTTCAAAAAGAATTACAGATTTTTTGTTTCAAAATTTTACACTAATTTCATCAATCACTAGCCACTTTGATGTTAAACGTTTATTTTCTTGTGGATTATCATCAATTGAAATGGACGATGTTGAATTCAGTGTTGTTGAACTGATGGCTATTGAATCTGCACGATTTGCTTGTGCAAGATCTAAACCTTCCTGACGTTTTTGTTTTAGACGATAATCTGTTAGACTATAAACCAGTGGAGATTCATTCTAGGAAAAAATGATTTTTTTTTGTTTCAAAATTCCATGAAGAGCAAATAAGACGAAACTCACTATTTCATCGTCAGGTTCATCATGGCAATAAGTTCGTGGTGGTTTAATTGGTGAGAAAAATTTATGTTTATTTAATGTTGGATCGGATATTGACCGTGTGGAGATTTGACGACGAAGTTGATGATCTTGTATAGATGTAATCTGTGTTTGCTAATCAAAAATAAAAATATTAAAATTTAAAGAACAAACTTTTCTATCGCTTTCAAAAGGATTAGGACATTATTTCACCGACTGAAACATGTGATTCAGCCATCTCTGACATTAAACGAAATCGAAGGAAGGCTTCTTAATTGTAAATGGATGTTTCATTTTACTAGCCTTGATGCGGAATCTGAGCGATTGAGAAGAAAAAACTTACATGAGCATAATATATATGATCTTCTTGAAGAATAATATCATCTCCATCTCCATCTTCATTTAAATTTTTTATTTTTATATCAGCTGTATCTTCTCTATCATAGATGATAGCATTTGCTGGATTATAATTTTCATAGACTGGTTGTTCGATATCAGAATCTGTTTAAAACAAAGGAAGAAAGAGTTTTTGTTGTTTTTAAATCATTTGTTTAAGATTATCATACGTGTAACTTCATTGCATGCTGTATCCACTTCATCATTATCTAACACTTCAGATATTTGCTCTGGTTCATCAACATATATGTAGAATGGTGAATGCCGTACTTCTTGTTCATTAAATGTAACAATAATCTATTGGATACAAGAAACAAAATATTTATTTGCAGACATATTGTCGAAAGTCTTACTTTATGTTCACCATACATCGCTGGATAGAAAGCACAATCGTATGTTCGATTTCTATCTTCGCGGAATTCAATAGTACACTGAAAGAAGAATAAAAATAAATTATTCTGTGAGAAATGCTGTTTGAATTCTAACCTCTTCTGTTTGTCCATTTGGATTAACAATAATAACATCAACTTTACCTATACCAGCTGCACATGTTTCAATGTGAAAAATAACTGGTTTATCAACCATATGGCCCGTTCGCTCAAGACCTAAATTCAAATTATATGAAAATGAATTCTTTAAAATTTCTGTTACAAACCTTCACCATAACAATTGACTAGATGAGCATAATTCTTTGGCTTAACTGGTGCGCCAGGTTGAAGTTTCGCATTCGGATATTGAGATAAATAAGTCATCATCGATTGTTCATCAACGTGTGGATTTATCATTTCATGTGGTTGGATAAGCTAAAAAAGTTTTAAAAATTCGTTTCGTATTACTAAACTAATTGTTGCATCGAAAACGAATAGAATGGAAGTGCTCGAATAGATGAGATGCTGCCCAATCGACAGTACGATAATTCAATTGTTATGAGTACTACAGTCCTTCTCAGAGATGATGATTTTCACATTTTCTCATTGACCTTATTGTAGCGGTTAATAGACAACGTAGAACTTACCTGTGGAATACCAAGCCATTTTTCTGCCAATTCCATAGCTTCTTTTGCATTTTCTAGTGCATGCTTTGGATCACGATCAGCCCAATTCGGAAATAGACCTATCCAATGATGTTTAAAAAAATCATTCGTGTCTAATAAAAGAAAACTTCCATGAATACCTGGATAACAAGATTCCAAAACAGCTCCAATCGCTCTTCCATCGTTCCAATCCGAAGTAAAATTTGCAATATTAATGTGTGTTGGCAATTTTGCTTGTAACCAATTCATTAATTTTTGTTTTGGTTTAAGATTTTGAATTGTTTCTCGTTTTTCATTAGGTATTTCCCAAGCTGGCAGTGTAATTGAATAATGTAGAATAAGTGTCCACATAAGGCCAAGTATTAATTTGACTTTACCATCAACAATATCCGATGCATCGATATTGACTAGACGTCGTTTTTCAATATTTTCAACATAATCAAGTACGACAGATACATTTTCTAATTTTTGAGAACGAAATTGCGGACGATGATTATAACGTGGTAATTTTTTTCCGACTAATATTTCAAGAAGTGCAATTAAATTTAACCCATCACCAAGATCTGTTTGTAAATTATCAATATGTCGATTCACTAATTTCAAACGTTCATTTGCCCATCGTGTAAATGTATTTTGTTGAATTTTTTTCCATTGTGCATTTTGACCACATTCACGTTGCATATCATCGTTAAATTCTACAACAACAAAATATCGTTGATAATCCTTTTTTTTTATTAATTTTAGAAAAAAACAGAGATTTTACGAACCTTGTTCACGTCGATTAAGTTCTTCAGCTGTTAATGTTATATCATTATTATTGATATTCAACGATTTTGGATGAAGTATTTGTTGTTTTAGTACAGTCTTTTTCAATTGTACTGGTGTTGTTGTAAAGCTTTTTTGAATATCAACATTTTGACTATCCTCATTGAATTGTTCTTTTTGTTTGTTCAATTCTTTCTATAATAGATGTACGATTTTTAATTCATGAAGATCAAAGAACAGCGATTCAATTCAATTAACTTACTAATTTTTGACGAAGGTTTATACTCATGCTATGCATATAGAAGAAAACGATAAAATAGAATTGAATTCTGCTTACAGGTTCCGAAGACAAAGACCCGCGAAACAAAGTGTGAAATTCGATCAGCCAATCAAAAGTTCACTTTCAACAGAAGCATGTAGCGACATCATCGTTTGTCTATAATGTGACTTTCTTTCATACACTGATATAATACGTATCGCTTCGTTTCAACGAACAATTGCGTCATGGCTCAACCGATAGAAGAATCGTTTTTGGATAAATTACTTCGTACTCGTTATCCACTGACGTATTATCTAAGTCGGCAACAACAATTTGTCAAATTCCATTCAATAACTCAAACTATTGCTGCATCAACTCCTGGTAGAATTTTAGTTGTTTCAATGAAAATTTATAAGAAATCTATTATTTTCCAGAACCTTCTGTAGTTGTGACAAATAAAAGAAAAGTACCATTGCCACCACCAGCATGTTTCAATGTACCTGATACACTCGATTTCAATGGAACAGCACGTATGCTACCAAACTAATTGTATTTTCTTTTGTAAACTTGAATCAAAAACCATAATAGGTGTCTAGATTTAACAGTTGTAGCGTAACAATGCTTATCTCTATTACATTTGTGTTCATTCTTAGTATTCTAGTTTGTTCTTATTTCATTAAACATTTTGTTTGTACGATACTGACTACTATTTCTAGACGTCTCTCATATGCTCTTCAGTACTATTGACATGCTGCGCTTGAGTAATAGTTAGATTCCAAGTCAAGTTTACTAACCGATCAGTTTCTATCGAACTTCGATATGTAAAACTTGTGTTCGATATCTTCTATTTAGATGAACCAGATGATGAAATGGATCGTAGTTTAGACATGGAAGCAGCAGAAACAAATGCATATGATGAGACGATCTTGTTAAAAAGCATGTATAAAACTTTATTTTGATTTCGATTGTTTTTCATTATGATATATTCTATTAGGTAACAATAATCGAACCAATGAAAGTATTTGTGTAAGACAACACTAATATCATTTGTAAATTTTTCTTAAATAAAAACCAATCTAGGATCTTACAAGTAAAATTAATTCATCAATTATCAAACGTACATCGGCTATTCATTTAGAATTCTCACCATATGAACAAAATTCACCATTGAATACAGCAATACATAATGGTTTAAATATTATCAATAAATATAATTAGTTTTTCTCCATCTTGTTATTTTTTTGTTGTTGTTTTAATAAAGAAGATTTAGAAAAGGATTATTAACTGCTTGCAGTAGATTTGCTTTCGTTCACATGAATTTTGTTATTAGCAAATGATACAACAGATCTGTAAGAAGATATAACTACGTATTTGAAATATCATATTTAAACAAAATAATATGATTCTTCAAACTTAATTGTATTGCATAATGAAATGCAGCTAGATAAATACTAAAATTAAGGATAAAAATTTTCTTTAGTTGATTCTATTATATCGACTATCTATCGTTACGTAGACAATATCAATAGTTTGATACCATCGAATCTACGGTACAATAGAAAATCGTAAAATCACCTGTTCTTTCCTTGATATTAAACAGAAAATTTATTCGACGGCATTTATCTTATAGTTAGTCTCCTCATCAATAGAAAATACAAAACAGTACCAGTTTTTCTGTTTATTTAAATCATTTGCATTAAATACTTTTCTTGACTGTTTTTTAAATTTATTACAGTATTCATCATTCAAAAACTGCTCTGCTGGACGATTTAATCAAATATAGACAATAGGTTTGCATCTAAACGAACATGTACTAGATGATTAGCGATTCAACAAACTGATGAATGAATGGGTAACCATATTTGACGATAGTACTGCTCATAGAAGTTTGTGAACTAATGTAGTTGAAAATAAATTTATTTGAGAATAATTTCTTGTAAGTAAATGAACCCACACAAATACCTTCATAAAAAGATTACTTTAGGTTATAAATACTCATTGATTACTAGCTATTGGTTGAATAAAAATTAGTTCAAACTAATCTTTGCTAGTTCTAGAACAGGATTCATTGACAAAAAGATCTGTTTATTTATTAGGCTATCATTGCTGTATTATATGTTCAGATGTATTATTAATTTTTCGTATTTCATAAGCTTCTATATGTTTGTAAACAAAAACAAAACCGTGTTGCAGTGTTGTGTCTGTCCTTGAAATAGATTTGAGAGGAAGCCAAGTGCTCTATAACCTTGAAGAGTTAAGCTCTCTCTCTTTATTTACTTTCGCAAAAAATTTCATTCGCCTGTGACAATGTACAAAACGCAGAAAAATAAACATTGCTCGGAACGTTATGAATTGAGAGTGTTTGTTTTCTATCGCTTGTCTACTTGCACGAGCAAGATTATAAAAGCAAACTATCGCGGAAAAAATATATGCTTTGAGCATAATAGATTTGAAGACCTCCAGCATCACTATGTTGAGTGTTTTTATTCTTATTCCGAGATGAGAATAAACTCCGAATTTCTTTTTTGTATTTAAAAAAATATAGTAAATAGATACCTGAGGAACAATATTTATTATTATTACACTTTATTTATTTTATGTTGAATTTATTTTTGTTTCACTTTTTGTCAGGTTTGGGAGTAAGTGTGCTTATGTAAATTTAGGATGACAGAAAAGTGGACATAGGTATGAGAATCCGTCGCGTAACAAAATAAAACTGTGCAATACTTCTCCTGCTAGTGTAATGTCACTTTCTATATGAATCAACAATTTATATTTAAAATCGTAGGCCTCTTCATAGTCAATGTTGTTGTTTTGAAAAAGTTGATATTTTAGTTAAATGTTAAATTCAAGATTGTATATAATTTAATTCAATAAAAATAAGAACAGCTTGAATAGAATATAAATTTGAGTCTTTGAAAATACTTATAGATACTACTGAAAAGATAGGTCTAGTGCATTCATGTCACTGAATAATCCGTGATCGCCTTCAACTTCTCTGCAATTATCAAACCAGACATGTTCGCTGAATTAGAATGAGAAAAATCTAGATGTAAAACATACTAAAGATGTTTACACTTTTTCGATGAAGTTGTTTTAGTGATGAGTTCATGGGACTTTGAAAGGCTTCAAAACGAAAACGATCGTCTGACACGAAAATCTCAATGATAAGCAAATATTTCGTTGGGTAGAATAGTTAATAGAATTTCAAAACCGACTGCCTACCGAATTATTTCGATTTAACTAATAATATCGTGAAAATATAACTAAAACAAAACAAGTCTAAATTACTTCAGTATTTTATGCGATAATTATGCTTGTTTTTCTGCTTAATTTTTGGGACACCCTTTGTTGGTGTCAACAGAGATAAATGTCAACATGAAATATATCTTAACATCCTACTGTTATACATAATATCAGAGTAATTCTTCAACCTCAACTGCTTCATTATGATCTTTATGCATGCTGATCGCCAGACAAACAATTTCTTTCTTACCATAGCATTTGTTTTCGACTAACTTTGCCATTGATTCAGTTATCCATTACCATAAAGTTACAAAAATTTAATCTATATATCTATCAATAAAAGCCAGAGACAATATTAAGTACGTACATGTTAATATTTTATGTATGCTGAAGTATTTCTTATCTGCTGTCTTCGTCCATGATAATAATCTTTTGCAATCTTCAAATCAACTCATTATTTTCTTTTCACGTCTGCTTGATAATCAACTAAATACGTAGCTGCTAATCATTCATCAAATTTGTATTCTCTCAAGATCGACCATAGTCAATTGTATCTTTTCCAAGGACATAAAATATCCTACGTGCTTTTTCGATTTCAATTCTAAACAAATAACGAAGAAAAAAACACTATAAAACCACAAGTCAACAACATGAGCACATAGAAAGTGTTGCCTCTTACATAATTTTTGTATAATTCTTTTAGTAAACAAGAAAAAGCGAAAAAAAAGCCGGACAAATCTATGACGATTTCTTTTTCGATCTAGTTGGTGGTCAATACTTAGATAGATGCAATGTGGTGATGAGTGCAATATGTACAGTAATAATTAGATAAACAATTCATTATGGTATGAAAATTTTTTGTTTTTCTTAAATATATTCTATAAAATATTATCGCCTGTTTTTTTTTCTATAGTTTAAGACAAAATTAAGTTTTTTAATAGTAGTGCTACTATTCTGCGTATTCAGTAACAATGAAGCATATTATTTTCATTATTATAATTATTCAAAAATGACTAATTTTCTTCATGATATCACTTCTCGTTATCCATCGAAAGCGATATTATATGAAGTAGGAAAAAGTCAAGGAGGTATGTAAAATAGAAATTACCTTTTAAAACTGTTCGATAACTTTATTCGTCAGGACGATCATTATGGGCTGTAGCATTAAGTTCATATTCTCCCAATGAACATATTTTATTACGTCCAGAAGTTAAATATATTGGAAATATGCATGGAAACGAAGCCATTGGTCTACAAGTATTATTATACTTAGTTGAATATCTTTTAACATCAAATGACAATCAAGTTATCGAACTCATGAATAATGCTCGAATATGGATTATGCCATCGATGAACCCTGATGGTTTCGAATTATCACAACAAGGTGATTGCGGATCCACAGGTGGAAGGTAAAAACAAAAGAAATGTTTATCTTCAGACTTTCATATAGAAAATTTTTAGAAATACATTAAATAATATTGATCTAAATCGAAATTTTCCCGATTATCTTGGTGTTCCATTTCCTTCATCAAATCGTGCTGTAGAAACCAGTGCAATCATGTCTTGGCTCCATGCTGTACCGTTTGTTCTTTCAGCAAATTACCACGGTGGTGCATTTATGATTAATGTTCCTTATGATCGTTATTGTATAAATATTTTATTTTATCATTCGAATGTGAAAACGTTTTTTCTTCTAGATACTGGAAAAGTCTCAACTAGTAGTGATGATGATATTTATCAAATGATCGGCAGATCTTATATTAGTCGAATATCGCAAACAAATAAATATTGCGATTCAAGAACAGATGAAATCGGTACAGTTATACGTGGTGCTGATTGGTATGAAATCGTTGGTAGTATGCAAGATTATGGCTATTTAAATTATGGTACTATTGAAATGACAATGGAAATATCATGTTGTAAATATCCATATGAGAATTTATTGGCTTCCTATTGGAATTACAATCGTGATGCTATGATTGAACTTTTATTGCAAGCGCAAAGAGGTTTGATCGTTGAAAGCACAGACAAAAATTCTTAGAAAGAAATTAGTTTTTGTTTAGGAGTCAAAGGTCTCATACGCGATGAGTTTCATCAATCTATTCCATTAACACAAGTAATGATTGACAATAGGCGACCTGTTGTTAATGTAACGCCACTAGGAGAATTCTGGAGAATACTTTTACCAGGCGTCTATACTCTAAAGGTAAGAAAGATGAAAATATAATTTATAAAAAACAAGATTGAATATTTAGGTCTTCTATCGAGGCTATGAAATCTATCGTCAACAAATAGTAATCAATAATAGTTACAGTCCCTTAAATGTAAACATTGTTATTCCACAATTAGCATATATTCATTATATCAATCGACCCATTCAATTATTATCTCCATTTATAACTAACATAGTTTAATCATTATCAATCTCATAGATGTATTATTTCTTTCTTTGTCTTACTGTTTAGACAATTAAATAAAAAAGAAAGCTTATATTCTTTCTGTTCTCAGCCAATAGAAGGACCTGGAATAACAATTCCTAATTCATGTAAATCTGCCAATAGTTGTTGATTATTATAAATTTCTGTAAATGAAAAGCAATGACCGAGTGCATAAATATGTTGTGCGCAGCATACAATTTGATCATTGGGGCAGATATTCTCTGTATAAACTACATAAGTTTCAACACCATGTTGTACTTCTAACCAAGTTTCAGAACACCAACGTGTACAACGACTCCATCCAAGAAAACCACATCCATCATAGCCACATTTATGACGGCCACTTTTAAGTATCTAAATAAGAAAATAAAATGAACTGTTTATTTAGAAATTCTCTATGTACATAGAATGTTGTTTGTCGTGTTTGTGATACTGCTGTAACACCATGATCGATTTTACAGCACCAATTGTCACCGGTATCTTTTAGATCATTTCTCGATGATGATAATAGGAGAGTATTGAAAATTTTTTCTTGTGTACTTTTCGTTAATCGATCGATTTGATCTTGAATTTGATTTAGTGTTGCTATTGAAGTATGGATAGTAATGAAAAATAATAAAATTTTCATGAAAATCATTTCGATTGAATACAATAAAAATAAATTTTCTCTTAAAATATCTTAGGAGCTGTTTTTTGTTTTAAGACGTACTAACACGTGTCATTTTTCTCATTGCATCGAACGATATTTGATGATAAATCAATAGACAAAAAAGTCATCCGATCATATTTTATTTATTAAGATCATTTGATAAAATCGCTAATATATTCATATTCTATGTTTAACCTTGGAAGTATCACTAATGAAATCTTAAATGGATCGATTACTTTATTTGAACCAACAACAGCACAAAAATCAATTCCCGTAAGCTTCTTTCAATAACAGGAATAGAAACACAGTCGAGGAAAAAAGTAGAAACGGCTATTTATTGTGTTTCCTTATAAAAACGATCATTTTCAATCATGATTTCTTTTTTCTAATTGAAAGAAGCTTTCTCTCAATCTTTCTTCCGATCATTCTCTTTCAATGCGACAATTTTTTTGCGTGATTTTAGTATTGCTCTCTCTCTCTCTTTCTTTCTCTCTTTTCTTTTTTAACCTACACGTAAAATAACAACAATGGCTTGACGGTGTTTTTACCTGTATAAACAACAACAACAGCAACCGTTTTGTTTGATGGCATTATCGTTCATCATCATCTCGATAAGGGTGACTGCAACTACGATTCTTTTTCACACTTCATTCCATTAGTAAAGTCGAAAGCAAAAAACGGCGTACCAAACGCATTTTTTAGCAAGTAAAGGGTTGCATCAACAGCCAAGTACTGCTGCTGTTTTGTCATCGAGAGCGTCAACACTTTCAAGACAACAGAAACGACGTTTGCCAGCAACACCATCCGAAGTTTCATCGAACACAATAGAAAGTGAGCATCTACCTCCTATAGTGCCCCCTCCAGCTAGAGTATTTCGGCATAATTCAAACAACGACTTGAATTCTATACGTCGTTCCTTGTTGAATAGTAAGCCTTCTTCAACTGTTCCAAAAAAATATATTACCAAAACGATGAGTACTACAACAACAATGAAAAAAACAATTAATGGTGGCCCTGTTAACTTGAATGGAAAATCATCTCAAATCACAAGAACAGCGTCAAGTGAGAGCAATCAAAGGGTAAATATATAATGATATTATTTCTAGAAAATAATAGCAAAATAAAAAACACTGATTTATTTAGATTCGTAAATTATGGTGGTCACCTAAACGAAACGAAGTTCATATACGTTCTCAAGATGGAAAATATAAACATGTAACATCGAAAGTTGGTTCATTAGCTAATATTCAATATCAACCTGGTGGCGGTCAAATATCAATCAGAGACGAAGCTGTACAATGGAATGCATCATCAAAAATCAATTCACTTGTCAACGCTAGTTGGTCTCCACCAACGCCCCAAGTTACTGTGCGAACAGAAAAACTAAAATGGGATGTTCAACCTAAAATTGGTTCACTAGATAATGTCGATTATAAACCAGCTGGCGGTAATGTAGAAATTCGCGATGAAAAACTTGATTTAACTCATGTAGTACCACGTGTCGATTGTGGCTTTATTGAATAAATGCATGTTCTTTTCCGTATGTTTTTTTAAATTTATTCAGAAGAATATTACGGGTTTGTGCTACTTTCTTTTTGTTTGCATTTATAACATAAATATATGTATATACATACAGACAGAAAAACTGTACCGAAGTATATAATGAATAATATTCGTTGTTTTTTGTTTTCATTTTTTACAGCGGAAAAAGCATCGAAATTGTAACAAAAGAAAAAGAGCAATATTACATAATAGGAAAAAGAGTATATAAGAAAATTTTAAGGTATGCTAATGCCATGTTTTACATAAAAATGAAAAGAAGCATAAATGCAAGAAAAAAGTCAAGCCCTTTTCTTTTGGTTTCCATTTAACATTAACTTTTGATTGTTATGCGTCACTATTACACTGCAAATTTTGTATGTATTCAAATCAACAAACGGAAATGTTGCCAACGGCATACGGTTATTCATGTTTCATCTTTAGCAATTAAATACTTAGTTACGAAAAAAAACAGAGTATATAAATAACAACGAGAAAAACTCCTCTTGAAAATAAAATTTCATTTTTCTTTTTTTAAAGTGAATCAGTACGTAAAAAGATTGTTATTGTTGAGCTGATAAAAATCAAACGTAAATAATTCCGATTTTAAATTTAAATATTGTTATTGACTTACACTTAAACTTAATACAACTATTTGATTTTGTTGACGTTTGGAAAAGCATTGTTGTAAACCAAATTTTTCATATACAAATTTACATCCACGTTTCATAACACGCTTGATTTCAGTACGAAATGCTCGACTAGATAATGTATAAATATAAAATTCAATCATTGGATTAAAATATAATATTAATCGACAAATATTGTCAAAAAATAGTTTAATCTTACGATTATACACTGGTTCATCTGCATATCTCACCATCTTATAAAAAATGTTAACAGTTGCAAATGGCGCCGTACAACATATAACAATAATTACTTGTACTAATAGCATTCGTATTAATTGACGATCTTTAGAACGTGAAAGATCTTTTCTTCGAGTATTGTTATCTGCTGCTATTTGCATATGACGTTTTCGAGCATTTGAAATCATGAGTAAACCAAAAATCATCATAAGAACCAGCGTGAAAGTACAAGTAAACGTTAAAAAAAGACTTGAAAAGCTATTTCATTATCATCTATAAAAAGATTACAGTAGGGATCATTGTCAATAGAATCAACTGTCCACCAAATCAATGCATGAAAATGAGTTAATCCTACAATTAAAATGATGTATTCAGGTGCTTTTCTAGCCATCGGTAAATCGCTCATTTGTCGATATCGAACGATTTTCGCCAATACTATAAACCATGGTATAAAACATATAGATGAATAAACAAAGAGAATTCTTAATTTTCAAAGTACAATATTTAAATTCGACGGATCGATTTGCAAACCACTTGACAGAAGAAGTATAAGTAAAGCAACACTGAGAACAAACAAATTATTGATTGATGAAGCCAAAAAATAAAATGGACATGCATTAGTACGAAGTGAACGGCGAGTAAATATTAGAATATTCATAATATTATCAACTGTGCCAAGAATAAGTAGAAGTATAGGAATAATACGATTGAGTTTGAATGAAATAAGTACTAAACGTCCAGGAAGATCACCCGTGGATGTTGACATGATTTTAAAATCAATGCAACAAAAAAGACGCTTTTCTATAATGAAATTAATCTTACTTAAAACATTAGACGAATATCAAATAATATTCTGTAGGCAGAAATTAGGGTTTAGGTTAGGAATAAGGGATTAAATATGAAATTAACGGTTGGATAAAACATTAGTCTGGAGTACTAGACTAATTGAGTGTGGTGAGTTACATTTTACTACTCTAGAGCTTTAAAAGGTTCAGTATGACACCTTTTTTGTTTTCTGAGTATTCACGACCGAAAATGGAAGTGTACAAAGAATCGTTATAAGAACTTGAACTAGAAGCATTATAATCATTTGACGATTTTTAGAACGTAAACGATCACTTCAAGCATCATTATTTTGTGGAGATGCTTGCTTTCGAAGTCGTTTAACATTGAAGATTGCTAATGCACCAAATACACCCATGGGTATCGGTGGGAAAGCACATGTTATAACAAGAAAAAATATTTGAAATGCTATTGCATAATTATAAATGAATATATTACAATAGTTTTTCGAGCTATTGGTAAACTACTTATTTGTCGATATCGAGCATTTTGACAACTCAAGAGATGCCGATCGATACTTGCAAGAGCCATAAACCATTGAATGAGAGCAAGAGAAGAATAGACAATAAAATATTCTTAATTTGCAAAGAGCAGTATTTGAAATGGTTTGATCTATTTTCCAGCCACTTGAAAGAAAACGTGTCAACGTAGAAATATATAAGACAAAGATGTTATTGAACGATGATGCCAAGAAATAAAGCAAACATGGATTGTTAGGATGAGATCGACGTGTAAAAATAAGAATATTCATGATATTTCCGACTGTGCCAAATGCAATTTGAAATATTGGTACAATTCGATTGAGTTGAAGAGCGATGAGGGCCAATCGTGTAATAATGTCATCGCTCATTGTTGTTTTGCTTTGATGCTTGGGTAGAAAGTCGCAAGAGAAAATTGTATGGATTTATATTTGAAGTTGAATACTTTATGAAAGGAAAATTAGTTTGCTATTTATGTTTCTCATTCGTACATTGTGCTGGTATTACAGATGATGATTAGTATTTCACAGCTAATAAGTTCTTTTTGTGTACTCAAAACGTGAGTACACTCTAGAATCGGTCAGCGTGTCCGTCCGGCCGGCCGTTTACACGATAACTTTCGAAAGGAGAGTTAGATCATGATGAAATTTTCTACACAGTTCAGCCTGATCAATGTCTCAGTCGAGTTCGAAGATGAGAAGGATCCGTCAAGAAATGGTTGAGTTATCGAAAAAATTGTCATTATTGACCAGACCATCCCTGAGGGGGAGTACAGGGATTTTTCAAAAAAACTTTTTTTCCTCTCAGAATTATCCACAACATAT